ACTTGCATCATTGAAAATCAGCACGTGTATTTAAAATGCCTTTATGGGGGCTAGTGGCGCAAGGGGTTAAGTCTAAGCACTATAAAGCTGTCACTGAAGCACAAGTTCGATCCCAAGCCAGGGAGCTACCCACATGGAGCAGCAGACCTCTCCTGACTCGCCCGCTGCTCCCCTCAGCAGTGAATTTCAGTCAATCCACTTGCTCTGCTCCCCACTCTGTCTCTGGTGAATCTTCTCACCACCACCCCCTGCCCCGCACTTCTCAACGACACCCCAGCTCTTGTATGCATAAATAAAATAAAATAAAATAAAAATATGCCTTAATGTATTATACTAAAGTGAAATAAGTCAGGAGAAAGACAAATACTAGATGACTACACTCATATGTGGAATCTAGAGAAACAAAACAGTGGAACAGACAAAACCAAACCAAAACAAATCCTAGAAATTTGACTGCAGAATCGAGACTGCTAAAAGGGGAGGAGAGGGGAGGGAGCAGAGAGGAGAGAGGGGGCTGTTGGTCTATAGGAGAAGACTGTGGGTTCTTTGGTGGGCGGTATGGTGTGATACATCAGTCCCTTAAATCATTTTAAACCATTGTTATCTCAATAAAAATAATAAAAGTGGTTTAAGGCAAAAAAAAAAGTCTTAATGGAAGGGCTACTTTCCTTCGTGGTTATTACAGTCCCCTCACCTCTGAATATAATATTTCTGGGTATTTTGCTTTAGAATACTAGTCTTCCACACAAATTTAGATAATTGGCTCAGAATAAATACCCATTTTAATATTGTAGACACCATGGACATTTTGGAGACAAAATTAAAAGATGAGTTGTTTCTAATTGGAAAAAAAGTGAAATTAAACAAAAAGTTAATTATATAGGTCCTTTACCTTCTCTTGCAAGGATAACCTTGCTGCGAGAGTTGCAAGTAAGCCATGTACATTGTTTGGCTTAATAGTTCAATGTAACAGCTCAAACTTTGACCATAATATATGTAAAGAATGCTGATGTGAAAATCTATTGTATTTAATGTTGTATCCAATGGTTTTATGCAAATGAATTCTCCCATTTCTAAGAATTGAATATCATCTTGATGTCTCTCCTGTGATTACTCTCAGTGTTGTTGGACCTACTACTATGCTTCCTGGAGTTTAGTTCATCATAGCCTGAGATAGCCTAACTTCTTTGTAGCTCCCAATGTGTAACTGATTTTCACCTTTTAACATATCTTGTCCTTATATGTCTGGCCCCAAAATCTGTTGCAGTGAGTATTCCTTCAGAGCAAACTATTCATTCTGGGCTTTATAGTACTTATTTTAAAGAACTATGTGATATTCGGAGCCTCATGGAAACTAAAACTCAGGGGCAAATATAGCATAAAGACTAATCTAGCCAAATTTGGGGCTTGGGATAAGAAGGTTGTAAAGGTAGTTGGTGATTCTGGTTATACTTTATAGGAAATTTGACCTTTTAAGCTTATTATGCTGAATTAGAATGTCAAACATAATGTTATTAATATATAGCATTGATCTGGTTCAAGTAAAATGTTCACACTAAGAGGATAAGATGTAAAGTTTAAGTCAATAAAGTAAGACGAGACAGACAAAACAGGTAAGAGGGAGTTATTACCTGAAACCAGCTCTTGTCATCATCCTTTACTTGCTGCTGGAACTCCTTTTGCAACTATACTGTTTCCTCCAAGTTTTCACAGTTCAGTTTTACAAATTAAAATTACTGCACAGATGCAGTGATTTGAGGCGGATTCTTTTACTGTATAAACAACATGAGAATATGTTTAGAATTATCACTTGGTTTATGGAAGTGTCACTTTATTAAACTTAGCGTTCTCAGCTTTCTAGAAGATGGCTATTGTTACTTAAGTTTTCCATATAAGGGAGGATTGATGGTGTTAAACATAACTTTCATTTGCCAGACACATGAATAACAATTATATAAATAACAGGTGGAGTTAAAAGCTAAGTCTTTAATTCCTGATTTGAAGTTGGCATTTATGTCAGAATTGCCTACATTGTCACAAATCTATAAGAAGACTTTGCAGTTTAAAATATTTCAAAACAAATATTTTAAAAATCAATGTCACATTCTTAGTAACTTATCTAGAATTTGTTTCTAGATAAATAAATTGTCACAAATCCATAAGAAGACTTTGCAGTTTAATCTTTTCAAAACAAGTATTTTAAAAATCAATGTCACATTCTTAGTAACTTATCTAGAATTTATTTCAGTAATGTGGTGTATTGTGTCACATAGTTTAGCATACACAATAGGTATTGATTTCACACATGGTTTGTATATTTGTATTTACATTCACAGAACAACTTACCCCAGGAGGTGCAAGGACATTTTGATACCAGTAAAGTGCTGAATCAATAAATATTTGAGTAAAATAAATTTTTTACTCTATATCCACATTGATGGGCATAATCAAAAAACAGACAATAATCAGTTCTAAAAGAATGTAGAGAAATTGACACCCTCATAATTACTGGTTAGTACATGAAATAGTTCAACAACATTGGAAAGCAGTTTTGTCATTCTTCAAGAAGGTAAAAATAGAGTGACTTTCCTAGGTATATAACCAAGAGAAATGAAAACATCTTTACACAAAAACTTCTATATAAATGGTCATAGCAACATTATTCATAGTAGCCAAGAGTTGGAAACTACCCAGATGTTCATCAGCTGAAGAATTAAGAAAAAGAAGGTGGTACAGCCATACAATGGAATATTAGTCAGTCATAGATAGGAATGAAATACTGATTCCTGCTAAAACATAAAGAAACCTTGAAAGCATGAAAAGGCCAAAATTTATGATTCCACTTAAATGTCCAAAGTAAGCAAATCCATCAAGGCAGAAAGATTTGTGGTTACCAGGGCATGGGGGAGAGGAGAATGGGAGGTGGCTACTAAATGGGGTTTCTTTTTGATTGATGGAAAGTTTTCTTAATTAGATAATAGTAATGCACAACTTTGTGAATATTCTATGAAGTGTACACTTTGAAAAGATGAACTTCACAGTATGTATATTGTCTGAAAAACGTATCAATGTGCTGTTGTCCCTTTAAAAAGGGTATTTTTAGGGCCTCCCCGGTGGCGCAGTGGTTCAGCGCTGGGTTGCAAAGCTGCCCGCAGCCTCTGCAGCACCAGTTCGATCCCCGGCTGCTCCCCGGCCACCGGAGGAGGGTCCCACATGGCGCGCAGACCTCTCCTGCCGCCCGCTGCTCCCCTCAGCAGTGTACTTCGGTCCTTCTGCCTGCTCTGCTCCCCGTTCTGGCTCTGGTGAATTCTCTCACCCTCCCGCATTTCTGACTGTACCCAGTGCTTGTATAAAGAAATAAATAAAATAAATAAAAAATAAATGAATAAATCTTTAAAAAGAAAAGGTATTTTTAAATAAAATTGTAGGAAGTGTGTGTGTGTGTAAAGTGCCAGGACTTTCCAAAAGCTTAACACACAGGCTGACATCCAGTTTGAGACCTTCCTATATATTAAGTAATGTGTTCCAATATACAATATAAATTGACTGGGACTTCCAGCAGTCTGATTGTGAGGTGCTTTTAACAAGATAAGAATGCCAAAAGTGAAATAACCTGTTAAATATCTAATGCGTGCCTTCTCTGATTATAAGAGTGGTATTCTTATTGTCAGTTACAAAAGTGAAATGACCTTTAAAAATCGTTTGAACCATTATCTGACTTCAGAAATGTCAGTTAAGAATGTCATATAGTGGCAGGAAGATCATTCCTATATAGTCAAGTCTAACTGGATTTGAGACTCAATCTGAAATTTACTAGTGGTTTCTTCTTGTTAAAGAAATTATTTGACATCTGAGCTTTATGTTCCTTATCTGCATAATATATAATGGATTGTTGTAAGAATTAAGTGAGATACAATGAATACAACAGACTGTGCGCTCTGCTTCCTTGCTTTCCATAGAAGCTTATTATTTCTTCTCTCTAAAATATTTTCCACCCCATACCTCCTCCTGCCTTACACATACACTCACCTTATAAATTGATTGAGCTCTCCTTTCTGTATGTTCCTACTGAGCCTAAGGAGTATCTTACTGATGCAATTACTAGACTCTCTTAAATTTCAATGTTTATTTGCCTGTCTTTTATCCCCAGCCCCAAACTAAGTTCTCCAAAGGGAAAAAAATATTTGCCATTGTATACACACTTACCAAGCTTAGTAAGTAGCTCAATAAATATTTGAATAGATGAATTTTAATAACATCTAGCATTAGACTGGGTTCATAATAGCTCCCTGAAAAGGTATAACTTGTCCTTGTTTTGCTTTCTGTTGGAACATAATCAACCTGAAGCATTTTTAAATTTGTCATATATGGTGATTCATATATTAAATGGCAGTGTTTTTACTAGTCATACCTATGGAATGAGGAGAAAATTATCTGTGGAGTAATAGACTACATATCTATCTTTGTAATTTGTACATTGTTTTCTCGCAGTATCCATATGTATTTGCTAACATAAAAATGTATTTTGCAAGTGTCTCAATTTTCAGATGAAGTATATATTTCATCCTATTACTCTCCATCTGACATTATTTAAACTTGGAACAAAATGGCAAGCTTGGAAATAACACTGTGAATATAAAAAGGTCTATGAAATGTATAGAAATTAAATTATTTTAAGCAATATAACTAAAACTTGCTCTTACCATTTTTATTGTAAATGTCTTACAAAATTATAATAACAATAGATAGGAAATAACTATTTGGACATGAAAGGAATACATAAAAGGAGCAGTGAAAGAACTTAATTGGTATGTTTTATACTCTGGGCTTAACATATTTCTACATATATGCTGTCTGAATTATTTACAAAAGCTTTGCTGAATGAATGTTACTAGCTGCATAAAAATATGGGATGTGGAAAAGTAGAAATATTGTCTATATATACTTATATAAATCATTGAGATTTCTTTGGAGTTTCATAACCATTTTCCTTCGTTCAGGTACAGAGAACTGCAACTTAGTACAGAAAGCAAAGTAACAGAATATCTCCATCAAAGTAAGTTAAAATCTTTTGAAAGTGAGCGTGTTCAGCTTATACAAGAGGAAACTGCAAGAAATCTTACACACTGTCAATTGGAATGTGAAAAGTATCAGAAAAAATTGGAGGTACATATATAAGTTTTTCTTTTCAAGTCCCAAAGTATAAGATCTATAACATTTTGTACTTTATTTTCCCTAGAGAATATGGCACTGCCCTACACACACACACACAAATGCACACACATGCGCGTGTGCATGCGTGAAATATATAGTTTATATTAAGAAAAGCATAAAATGTCACTGATATATGTACGAAGAAACATCATCTTTCTGAAAGTAATTTTCAATCTTATGTATTTTCACTTTTTATCAAGTAATATTATATATTCCTATCTAATCAATTGGTAGCATGCTACATTTGATTACAAAGTAATTCTATAGCACAACAGTATAATAGTTGATATTTTTAAAGACTTTTTATGAAAGTGTAATTGACATACGACATTATTTTAGTTTAAGGTATATAATATGATTCAACATTTTATACATTATGAAATGATCACCCCTGCACATCTGTTTACCATCTTTTCTTACCACTTTTCAAATTTGCAAAATCGTGTTATTGATTACAGTCCCCACAGCATATATTACATACTCCTTGACTTACTTATTTTGTAACTGGAAGTTTACACCTCTTGAGCCTCTTCACCCATTTTGCCCACCCACCAACCTTCTACCCACTCTCGTTTTTATGATTTTAGTTTAGTTTGTTTGCAAGTTATTAAGAACTATATGAAAATGTGTATTCTCCCCTAATAATTAAAGTGATGTAAATTTAAACTTTTTTTTTAACTTTATATAGGTCTGTTTGTTACTTTCAAAGTGGTGGCAAGCACACCCTTTAATGGGAAATCTCATGCAGTTAGAAAAATAACAGCCCTTCTGAAGGACTACTTGGTAATCTGTGTTAAAGACCCTTAAAAAAAAAACTGAACAAGGAATTTCACCATAAGAAATGGGAGATGCTTATAAAGGTTTATATTAATGTTGTACAATCACAGTATTATTTACAATAGTAAAAACTGAAAGTAACTTAAATGTCCAACAGTAGATAAACAACTTTGAATTAGTATGTTATAAATGATATATTTTTCTGTATTCATGCATTATGTGATTATGTGAAATCATTTTTTTAACTATATTAAGTTTGGGGAATCTTGACTATATCAGATTTTATTAAAAATATATAATGTAAAATGCAACAGCGTCATTAGCTCGATTATTAGCTAATTATGCAAAGATTCATTACAGTAATCTTTCAAAATTTCCATTTCTGAAAAATACTCCAATAAATTTAAGATTAACAAAATTAAAGGGTCTCCCAGGAAAAAAAAGTCTCAGGGAAAAGCATGAAAATGATATGAAATATATATACACACATTTAAAGAAACATAAGCAAATGTTGTATAGAGATGGTGTCTATTCTAAACCAAATCATTGTTCAACATTCACTTTTTTTAGATACTTTCTTTGGGAAATTGTTACAGTCATAATCTGCTGTGGCAGATGCACTCATACATTTTTAATTGTACTTTATCAGATTAGTTCTGATTGAGAATTCACCTTTCACAAGTTTTCCATCTAATTCCTATCAAAATACCTTTCCTTTTCCTTTCACATTGGATGAATATGATAAGGGTATGTCTTGTGATGGGCTGGGATGGGGTTATATATACAGAAAATTAATGAACACTTCCTCTCTGTGATTTTGAAACAAATATTTCACAAAACTATATTTTACAACATACAGTGCTAATGCTTTCTAAACCATTCCATTTTTATTATTTTTACTGGTTGCAATCCACACTAATTTTTTGGTCTCCTAAAAGTTGAAAATGGCTGCATGAAAACCACTTTCCCATATTCCTACCCTGTATGTGCTGGTTGATAAAATTAAGGCTTTTCAGAATTTCTTTGCATTTCCTCCTGTTCAACTAGGTGTCTTGAGAAGACAGGGACTTTTCATTTATCATTGTGTTACAAATGTCTAACACAGTGCCTGAGTTAGGGTGGATGCTCAATAAGCATTTAAAGATTAAGTGCATGAATGATTTGATAAATGCTAATGTAGTGCCACTGAAATAATAGAAGGTATTTCTAAGACAATTCTTATCTACAATGAATTTAGAGAGAAATAATTTTGTGAAGGCTAAAGATTAATACAATTATATGCTTACCTGTTGCTTTTACCAAATATTCTTACTGATTTTTAACTTGGGGGAAAATTTTTTTTAAATTATTGGTTGGCAAAGACTCCCAAAACATTGACTTTAAATTTTTTTCTCTTTTTAAAGCAGCTATTGACCTATATCTTGTATATATACACACACACATATATAGTTTTTTATAATTCTGTGTTGTCATTCTCTTATTTAAAGGAAAGAAACTTCCACTATGAGAGCTTGATATTTAATGGATTACAAAAAGCAATTGACCTGTTTTATGCACTCATGTTTGAACTCAAATGTTCATGTACTGGTTTTACACAAAGAATCTTTAATAAAATAGCCTTCCATAGGTTCAGTAGCTAAGTCTTTTGTTGGCTTTTCAAAGACAGTCATAAATTTATTCATAGCAACCACTCAGACAAATCCATAGTACAGGAGAATTCTGCACCACAAGGTGCACAGGTTTTGGGAACAATTGGAAGCTCTCTCCTCCATGTTATGAAGGAAAGTTATAAATTGTATCTCTCAATTTAATCCTACTTTTAAAATATCTTCTTAAAATAGTATTTTATGAAATACCCATTTTCACCATTTTGATTATTTCTCTAGTTACCCATACCTGTGGTTTTAATTTGTGTCATATTTATTTTTATTGGGGACAGTGGGATACAAATGAAAAACATCAGCCTTGCTGTGGGAATAAGTTGTTCAACACTATCCTTACTGATCCTCTATATTGAGAGTTAAATTAATAAATGTCTTCAATGACCAGATTTTTTCATGAGTAACATACCAATGTAAAGAACTCTATGAAAGCTCCAGATTATTTTACTAAGCAGTAATTTTACTATAATGAATTAATAAATTTTTAGAAAATACATTCCCTGTTGTCATGAATATAGAAGAAAGATGCTAAAACTTGATTTTTCTTTTTCTGACTCAGTCAGGTACTCTAGATATCATCCTGCAAATATTATTCCCATGTTATTCTTCCTACACCCTCCAAAAGAAAGTATTTTGACAGTGGGAGATGAAATTTAGTTCACTTTGAGGGAAATTTTGATGGAAATAATTGAAGGAAATGATTAAGAAAAAATAAATTACAGTTTCTTGCTTCTTAAAAACTGTGAATAGATCTTCTGCATCTTCTCTATCACTGAAAGCACAAAATCTTATACATTTGTTAAGATGAACTTTTTGTCATTACATAAAAAAATGAACTTTGTCTCAAAATTGTTTAATTACTTATGTTTCATGATAATTAAATGAGTGGTTCTATGACCCATTTAATACAAAGTTCTCATAATTTTATTTCTTAGGATAGTAATAAGTGTTTTTCAACACATACTACTTCTAGGCAACTCTGCTAAGAACTGTGAATAATCCTTCCAACGATATTTTGAGGTAGGCATAGAGAGAATAAGTAATTGCCTAAGATCACAACTGATAAATGTCAAACCAAGATTGAAATCCAAATCTTTCTGGCTCCAAACCATATTCTTAGCCATAATATTCAGTTGCTTCTTAGGAAATACTATATTACTTATGCTGTGTTGGGAAGCAGGTTTTAAGACTACTCCATAACTTAGTCTTTATTAATAAGTAAACGTTCTAGCTAATTGCTATATAAACAGTAAAACATTTCCTTTGTCACTAGAAACATCGCCCATTTTATTTAATTCATTGTTATCATCATAGTGATTCATTCTTTGAGTTACCATTGAAGAATATAGGATTATTTTACTATACTCTTACACAGAATAATTCCTATTTCCATGCCTTTTGTATCTGTCTTATAATTTTTCTAATCCCTTCTGGTGATAAAGATGTTTTCTGATATTGCCCCAAGTAGCACTACATATTTCCCTTTTGATTTGCTGCTAATAAAGCACTTCATAATTTTCAGTTGAAAATGACAGAATGATTTACCTTAAAAGTAATATTTTAGCTTCATCAATCATCTAAATTTACTTCTTTCTCTTAATATTTAAATCATGAAAAAGAGAAAAATCCTAAAAGCATTTTTGTATCTTGTTTTTGTCTTAACATTTAAACTATTTAATTTTGTCTTTGCAATTTTCTTCTTCCACTATAAGGTTTTAACTAAAGAATTTTATAGTCTCCAAGCCACTTCTGAAAAACGCATTACTGAACTTCAAGCACAGAACTCTGAGCATCAGGCAAGGCTAGACATTTATGAGAAATTGGAAAAAGAGCTTGATGAAATAATAATGCAAACTGCAGAAAGTAAGTCTCCCCCATTCCCCCATACATCTTTTTATTTGGCAGCACAAGAAAACAGGTATCATTTCTGAAAATGCTTTGGTATATTTCCTTAAAGTGCAATTGATGACTAAGTTTTTTAAGGAACATTTTATATTTTAAAACTTAGTTAATTTCAATTCCAGTAGTTGGGATACAAAAATGGATAAAATGTTGTGGATTTTATCTTTTTATTTATTTAATTTATAATTATTGAATGTTTACCTCTGCCAGGAGCTGGAGCTCTGGAGTTCATGCAGTAATTCTTGTTTATATGGGTTCCTAGTCTAGTCTACTGTAGGGAATGAATGTATTAACAGATAATAAAGTAATAAGTGCCCTGAGCAGGAGATACACAGAAGTACAGAGTAGATATTGAATTAATTTCACCTTGGAGATGACAAATACTTAAGAGGGGAAATGATACTTGAACGTGTGTTAAAGGACAGATAGAAATAAATTCATTAAATTTATGTGTTATAATCTTTGAGCTTAATTTTTATTTCATTTTTGTCCCTCTTATTTTGCTTTCTTCCTGCATTGTCCCTAGTTTTAAGGGAATATTTTAAAATAACATTTCATCAGTAAGTGTGATGTTTGCTATTGTACTTTTTTTTGGCCCAAAGTCAGAAATAACAGTAGGTTTCTCTTACAAAAGTGAGGTGAAACTTCATTTCAAGTTGAATTTGAATCAAGACAATGTTCTAATTATTTTTGGCACATTTTCTTGTAAAGACTATTACATTTGTAGACAAATTTAAGAAAATTTCATTCTTACTGTCTTTTTTCCATTTCTAAGGTCAATGTCTGATAAAAGACATTTTATTTCTTAACTGGAGTCAGAGTAATATTTATAAAATACAATCTTAGTCATACCCTACATCTGCTATAGTGCTTTTCTGTTGTCTTCTGAAGACAACATAAAGTCAAATTCCTTTTTAGACTCTTATTTCACTTTCTACTTTTTATGCCTTGCTCACCCCTATCATGTCATGTTATTTTGAAAGTCTCATATTCTTTCTTATCTCCATAACTTTGCATATGTTCCTCTCGCTAAGCAAATTAAAAGCAGAAGGAAACTTCCTCAATCTGGTAACAGATATTTACAAAACCCTGGAACTAAGATCACACCTAACAATGAAATATTAAATGCTTTCCTTTATAAGGGTGAGAACAAGGCAGGCATTTCTATTTTCTTGATGTTAAACATTGAATTTGGGTTTCTAATCAGCAAAATAATGTAAGAAAGGGGAAAAAAGGTAGAAGATCAAAAGGAAGAATAAGATTATCTTTTCACATGTAGCCTCTAACACTAATAAGTAAATTTAACACGTTATAAGGTAATTACACAAAAATATACTAGAGGCAAACAGTTGGAAAGGAAATTTGAAACAGTTTCATTTACAATAATGTAAAAAGAAACACAAAATAGGAATAAGCTTAACAAAACAAAACATTGCTAAAAGAAATTAAGACAGTCCATCCATCAAGATATCAACAGATACATAGTGAATTCTGTAAATTCACTGTTATCCCAATCTTAGTTCCCTTTTAAATGCTTTTATATTCTAAAAAAAAGACACTAAAAGGGCCCACTTTAAATAATACAACAACGTATCTACCACAGTGATTGAGATTAGCGAGACTGGCTGTAGCAAGGTTGATGAAAATGTGGAGCAACTAACAATTTTTTATAAAACTGAATAACCCCTCTAGTGATCCAGCAATTCCATTTATTTTTGCCCAAAATAAAGCAAATACACACAAAAAGACTTCTAGAATATTCATAGACTAAAACTGGCAACAGCCCTGGTGTTTACTATAGGAAAATGGTTAAACAAACCATCATAAATTCATGCATTAGAATATTTCTACTTAATAAAGAGTAGATTCCTTAACATCGATGTATCTGAAAAAGTGGATGTCTAGCCTAAGAAGTCTTGTATGACTAAATTTATGTAAAGTCCTAGGAGGGCCTCCCCGGTGGCGCAGCGGTTGAGCGCTGGGTTGTGAAGCTGCCCGCGGCCTCTGCAGCTCCGGTTCGATCTCCGGCTGCTCCCCGGCCACAGGAAGAGTGTCCCACATGGTGCGCAGACCTCTCCTGCCGCCCGCTGCTCCCCTCAGCAGTGTACTTCGGTCCTTCTACCTGTTCTGCTCCCCGCTCTGGTGAATTCTCTCACCCTCCCGTGCTTCTGACTGTACCCAGTGCTTGTATAAATAAATAAAATAAATAAAGATAAACCTTAAAAAAAAAAATTAAAAAAAAAAAAAGTCCTAGGAGAAGAAACAGTAATCTATGGATTAATAAAAATCACCTCTATGGATGATTATCGCTAAGAATAAAATGGGAAATAGGCAGGAGGGAAATTTTTTCTGTAATATGTCAGCTTCCTGTATTAATCTCTATTAGTTTCTCATTGACTATAGAATAAAATCCAAGCTCCTTAACCTAGCAAACAGAACTTTTGTTCCATTCACAGTTGGAACCAAGCCTGCTTTTCTGCTACCATTGTTCTCTGCACTGACTCCAGACACTTTTCTCACAATTACTAAAACATCACAGCTCTGTACCTTTGTACATGTAATTCCCTCTGCACCTTCTTTATGAATGTCAATCTCCCCACACCTTCCTAATGTGTCTACCATGGGAAAAATAGTGTCACTCAGATAGAGTTGCTCTGTGCTCTGTGCTTCTAAGACACATGCATATCTCTTTAGTGCCATTTACCATGTTGTATAGTACATACTGTTTCCGTAATTAAATCCCCACTAGAATAGTTACTCATGAGCTATTAACCCATTAAGTATTAAGCTTAAATTTAAGATACCATCAAATGTAACTAATAGGTGTTTTAGAAGTTACCTAAATTTAGCCCTCTCCTTTCTGAATTTAGAATTATTTAAGAAAAACAGCAGTCAGGTATCTAAGTGTCAGTTCTAATTCTGCTGAAAACTGAATTGGAGAATTAAACTTGGATCTGGAGCCATGATAACATAACACTATACACAATGGCATGTGTCTTCTCTTGCTTCCACATGTCCCTCACAACTAATAATCCTACCTCTGGAAATTGTGTTTCTCCTGAAAAATAGGGACATAATTGAAGGCAAACAGTTAATGAAGATTCCTAAAATTTTTATACTACAGAAGAATCAGTTAACAAATGTATGCATATTACAATGATGGACCTACAAATAATCAGCTTCACTTACTAATATAAAATATGTGACTTTGTTTTAAATCTGAAACACTTCCAAAAGTAGGTTTTTCTTTATAATATTAAAATGGTAATAATATTATAAAATTGTTGCATATCATTGATTAATTTGAGCTAATCTTTAGTTCTTATGGCCTTTGATTAAATATTGTTCAGTCCCAACTTAATGTAAAATTAACATTGCTTTTAAACATTGTAACCCAAATATTAGCTTTTCATTAAATACCTTTAACTTTAGAAGTAAATGGTCTTACTGATTTTTTTATAAAGTTTTTTAAAGATTTATTTGTTTATGCATACAAGAGTGGGGTACAGGCCAGAGTTGGGGGGGGTTGTGAGGATTCACCAGAGACCAGAGTGGGAAACAGAACAGGCAGACTGACTGAAACACACTGCTGAGGGGAGCATCGGGCGAGACAGGAGAGGTCTGCTGCACCATAGCTCTCCAGCCGGCCAGGTATCAAACTCGTGCTGTAGAGGCTGCGGATTGCTTCATAATGCAGTGCTTAACCCCTTGTGCCACCACGGAGGCCCTATAAATTTTTATAGCATTTATTTTACAGATTTTTTTACCAGTCTTAAGACTGCACATTTTCTTAACAAAGTAACCTGCTAAGTGCATAATTTCATTATTGCAGGATAAGGTTGTTCCTCTGATAATATAATGAATGTCTTTCCTAATTAAGAGTAGTTATTTCTTTTATCAAGAAGGGGAATAATGAAATTGATGTTATCATTACTTTTTCATAATTACATAATATACATTTCATGAAAAAAGGCTTTGAATCATTAAGAATAACTCATCTGTATTTTTATGCTTTATTACAAAAAAACATGTCATATGATGCAATCCCTTACACCTTTTAAAAACAAATAGAACAAATCCAAGCAAGCATATACTTTAAGAGATTTGCATGTACTTACAAATGGCCTGTTTGAGATTACGCATTAGCCATATTTAATGTTCTTATGCTCACTAATTCATCATTCTGACCTCTTTTGTTTTCTTTTTTACCATGCTTTTTAAGAGAAAAGATTATTTCACATCATACACTAATGTTTTCCAGTTGAAAATGAAGATGAGGCTGAAAGGGTTCTTTTTTCTTACGGCTATGGTGCTAATGTTCCCACTACAGCCAAAAGACGACTAAAGCAAAGGTAAAATCAATATATATTTGTTTTATTTATCTACTCAAGCTAAATGTAATTACATTATGCTTTCTGATAATGTGCTCAGCTGAGTGATAGTTACTTTATTCTTAGTGTGCATAAATATTAAATTGTTCAAAAAATAAAACAGTAAGAAGCATGCATTTCAAATATTTTTAAGTGAATTTAATGGTCAGTAGAATAGGGATCTAATTAGACATTTCCTAGAAGTAAATTCAGTGGTAATTATACCACATTAATTTAATTTTCACATTTATGTCAGATGAATTACAAATGTATCTGTACCAACAATTGTCAGGTTAAAATTATGCTTCCCCTTTTTCTTTTTTTAAATACCTGCTCACATTTCTTGCCATCTACTAGAGATAAAGTAAAGAGAGATAAATGGCATTAGCTTAAAGATTAGCATAAACATTTTTTTGAAAGTAAAAAGACAGTGAAGATCAAGAAAAATTTTGGAAGCTCTGCCAGTTAGTTATTATCTCTTGAGAGAAAATTGTACCTGTATTTTTTTTAAAGATTTATTTATTTATGCATACAAGAGCTGGGGTACAGGCCAGAGATGTGGGGGGTGAGAGGATTCACCAGAGACAGAGCAGGGAACAGAACAGGCAGACTGACCAAAATACACTGCCAAGGGGAGCAGCGGGCGAGAAAGGAGAGGTCTCCTTCGCCATGTGGGTTTTTCTCTTTGGTGGGCCGGGGATCGAACTCGTGCTGGAGAGGCTGCGGATTGCTTCATAGTGTGGTGCTTAACCCCTTGCACCACCAGGGTGGCCCAAAATTGTACCTGTATTAATGGGTTTTTCTAGTTGACCTACTTGATTTTTTTCCCCAGCTCCTCTCTCCCATCTAAATTCATCCATCTTTGCAAAAAAAATCCTTACTGCTTATTCACTGTCTTGTCAAATCTAAATGTTTCTGTGTCAAACTTAGATGCCCCTCCATGTGACTCCACACTCTAGCCTCGTTTCTCAGCCCAAAACAAGAGTAGTATATTTCTCTATCCATAAGCATTTGTTTTTTCTCCATACAATATAGTAGAACATTTCTCTCATCTCCTTAGCTCTCCTTTCCCACGTAACTTCCCCAGATAACTAGAAAATTCATTAAGGTCAGCAACTTCACTTTTATTCTCCACTTTCTCTAACTAGCATGGTGTAATGCAACTAGTAGAATTGTCTCTTCATCTGAGTCTTTGAGGATTCAAAGCTGCTTTTTATCTTTTGTTTTTATAGAAATTGCTTTAAACATATAGAGACATTACTCACTAAGGAGGAAAAATTATGTTAATTCTAATACTATTGTAGAAACTTTGAAGTGCTAGTCTTTAAGGCTATCTAAAGTTATGGAAGCTATAAAACCATTTTATGGGAGAAGCGAAAGGATGCTTAGAATTTGTGCTCTTATTGTATAAACTGATTATCTGGAAGAATTTAGTTCAAGAATAGATGACTAACAAATATCCTTTTGTAGTGGAATGGTTGTTTGCTGAAGATGCAAATTTTTCTAAAACACACATTATTTGAAAAATTGATTAGTCTCTTTCCATTCCCATTCTCCCCAAAACCCCTCCAGACATCACTATGGATGACCTAGGGTATTTGTAATTTAAAGCATATCTCTGTTTTTAAGCATTGTATTGCCTAGGGATGATAAAAAATGTAGTTTTGTCAGTCAGAGACTTTTGTTATCAGTTGTAAATGACTGGTCAGATACTAACTATTGAAGTTTGAAGGAAAAGTCCAGTCTCTTCTCTATTTTAGCATCTGAATCCATTAAAAGAAGCTCTGTCACAAGAAAAAAAAAGAATCTTGCTGTTGTAAGCTCTCTTTCTCTAGCCCCAAATGTTGAGTTCCTCTAAAATTGAAGGTAATTATTGATATAACTTTACTATTATTTTAAAAGTATGTCCAAAACAGATGTTGATTTCTTAATGTTTAAAGTGAAGATCTACAAAACCACAACTGATTCATATTCTAAATAATCTTAACTGTCCAAATATTTCTAAAGATTTTATCACTGAGCTATCTATGTGCCTTGAACAAGTGCCTAATGGGCATGCTATTAATATCTCCTACCAGCTGGTGCCAGGCATTCTTCTCATGGTGAACCAGAGGGTTATTTTGAGGAAGTGCTTCTCAGGTCACCTAAACTAAGTGATGAGAAAGTAAGTGTAGATACCCAGAGAGGACATTTATGCTTTTCTTTGCCATTCAACAACTTTTATTGAGTGTCTACTTTATGCAAAATTTACCAGTGGCAAAGAAGACCCCTGTTCAGGATCTGGTGTATTTCTGAAGTTTGCAAAGTCCATATTTGATCTTTCAGTGGACCTTTTTTAAGAAGTCTATGGCTTTATGTTCTATTTAACTTCAGTTTACTTACTTTTTTTTTAAAAGATTTATTTATTTATGCATACAAGAGCTGGGTACAGGCCAGAGATGCGGGTGGGTGAGAGGACTCACCAGAGACAGAGTGGGGAGGAGAACAGGCAAATTTACTGAAATAACACTGCTGAGGGGAGCAGCCGGTGAGATGGGAGAGGTCCGCCTCGCCATGTGGGTTGCTCCCTGGAGACTGGGAATTGCACTCATGCTGCAGAGGCTGTGGATTGCTTCATAGTACGGTGCTTAGCCCCCTGCACCACCAGGGAGGCCCCTAACTTCAGTTTATTTAAATTGAAAGCAATGCAGCATTCAAAGAATCTTTATTTCATTCTTTACACTTGAAATTAAATTCAGCTTAGGTTGAATCATAAAACAATTCATAACAGCAAACTAAGTATTTGTATAATCAAGTTTTTTATTGCACATTTGCCTATCAAAAATATGTTAAACTCTCAAAAGGAACTTTTTCCCCTACTATCACTACATAATATTTTCCATTAATACCAAATTTGATTTTAAACCTCATATATTCAACAACCAGATTTAGGTATTTTTAGGGTAATACTTAATCGGAGGGGATTTTTAGTTATAAATATATACTTTTTTGGGAAAATTACAGGTAATCTTGCCATCTAAAGATAACCATTCAAAAATGTATACAGATGCATATGTTTTCTTACATATTTAATGTACTAGCATACATAATTTGGAAATTGATTTTTTTGTCTTGTAATTCCACTCCAAATATTTTCTAATGATACAGAATATTCTTCAAAAAGATAACTTTTAGCAGTTATCTAAAACTTTACTTTGTAGGGTCTTCTTATTTTGAGTCCCATATTGCTGTTATTAGGTTGGACAGTCACCAAAAAATTTCATTAGCTCTCTGTTGCTACCCGAGATATATTATAAAATTAAAAAGAAAAAATGCGTGCAAAGTTTACTCCACAGTGCCTGGCAGGAAATAAGTGTTCAATAAATGTTAGTTTGTTTTGCCAAGTTGCACACTTGATTTTAGAGAAAAAGCCAGCGTTTCAAAACTTTAATGAGGAACAATTTGAGTTTTCATTTATAACCTTAAATGAGACCTCTGAAATAATTAGTCCACCCCTTGAACATGAAACCAGTTTTGAGATTCACTTTCTTTGATATCAGTTTCTTAAGAAATATAGTATAATGCCAATTTCCTATAAAGAAGTCGCAAAATTAATTTTTCTAGTTTGAAAAATAACTCCAAAAATGCCTTTTAAACACATTGTAATTATTAAATAAGGTTACTCATATTTTGGAGTTTCAATGAGGATGTGAACAATAACTAAATGTTGTGCTAAGCTTTTTCTGGGACAAAGTTGAGGAAAGTTAAAAGGGCTTATACAATTAAAGTAGATTAAAATAAAATGGGCTCTTCTTGACTTGACTAAACTTGAAAATCTGAAGTAATGTTTTTGTTTCGGTCATGACTGTTTTGAAAATAGCAAACAAGATTTTCTGGTTACATGTTTTTGTTATGCTCTTTAACCTGCAACCCTAAATGGATAGTACCCAGGCACTAATGTGGTCTTAGCATGTGCTTCTGTTTGTTTTGGCAGATCTGAGTGTGGAGACTTCTCTAAAGGTTTTTAAACCTTTTAAATTACAAGATTTCCTGCCTACTATAGGCCTTCTGTTTAGGTTTCTGTCTAGTTTTATAAAGAGCTTTAAGTTGCAACTTTCACAGTAGACTGAGCTTATAATAAAGGGGAAAATAAAGCAAAGGAAATGTGTTTCCTCTAACATAGTTTTGTGTATATGGAAATTTGTTTTTATCTGCATTATATTTTCATGTGTAGGATTTCTGGTTTTTGTTTTGGAGGAAGTTGTACTTATTTCAGTTGGGTTGGTTTTAGGAATCATGCTTTAAAAAGTTAACTTCTGCTCTATTCATGATTATCTTGAAAATTTAAACCTATAGAAAAAATTAGAGGAAGTCTCATCTGAGTACAGATAATCAGCATAAGACCATTATTTCATTTTTTATTAATTGTCAGCATAGCAGGCCTTGCAGGGACCAACCTGAAGTGTTTTGAAGCTGGGATCATTGTGGCACATGTGCATGCCCCTGCCACCGTTCCCCCTTCCCAGCCCCCCCACCCGCCTTTTCTTTTTGAGTCATTCTTTATGCCATGATAATGGACCTGACCTAATAAAATTGAAAAGATTTAAAAAATCAAATGTTTCTTCAGACTAAGTAACTAATTAGCAAGTAAATAAATAAATGCACTACTTACTTGGAATTCTGATAATAATAAAAGAATCATACCAATATTGAAGGACTGAGGACAGAGCTGTCATATACACATTGACTGGCCCATACTATTATGAAATTGTATGTTGTAGTTGGAAGTACTTACTGCCATTGACACATATAGGAGGAATTTTTATTTGGAATCAAAAAGTGATGAGAAAACTAGGGAATAACTCTTGGGAGAACAATTTTACCAAATGACAGTTGAAATTTTGCTTAATTTTTAGATACAAAACTATACTTTTATGGGGTTATTTCTAGTTGATGTCTGGCTTAATCTTGGCACAAGTAAAAATCTCTTGCAATGTATATAT